TATGAATAATGATGCTATGAACATGGGTATACTTGTTCTTAGTTGAGTTCCTATTTTTGATTCTTTTGAAAATATACTTAGAAGTGGAATTGTTGGATCATATAGTAATTCTGTTTTTTGAAAGGATGAACAAACTTGCCTTCCACAATGTCTACACCATTGTATATTGCTACCAACAATGAACAAGTGTTCCAATTTTTCCACATCCTCACCAACACTTGTTATTTCCCCATTTTTCATAATAACCATTCTAATGGATGTGAAGTATTATGTCATTGTTGTTCATTCACTTTTTCCTAATCACTGGTGAGCTTAAGCATCTTTCCATGTTTTTGTTGGCCATCTATTTATCTTTGGAGAAATGTGTTTGAGTACTATTTTAGCTACTTTATTCATTGCTGTGACCAAAGGACCTGACAAGAACAATGTAAGGTAGGAAAAGTTTATTTGGGGCTCACAATTTCAGAGATCTTAGTCCATACATGGCCAATTCTGTTGCCCTGGGCTGAAGGTGAGGTTGAACATCATGGCAGGAGGGTGTGGTAGAGGAAAGCAGCTCAGCTCATGGCAACCAGAAAGCAGAGAGAGCGCCCCTCATCATAGACAAATTATAAACCCCAAAGGCACATCTCCAGGGACCACCTCCTCCAGTCACACCCTACTTGCTTGCGGTTACCACCCAGTTAATCCCTATCAGTGGTTTAAGTGCTGATTAGGTTAAAGCTCTCATAAGCTAATCATTTCACCTCTGAATGCTCTTGCATATTCTCATACATGGGTTTTCTGGGGACACCTAATATCCAAACCATAACAAGTATTTTGCTTATTTTTTAATTAGGTTGTTTGTTTTTGTTGTTGTTGAGGTGTAGGAATTTTTATGTATTATGAATATTAAACCCTTATCATCTGTACAATTTTCAATATTTTCCTTATTCTGTGGGTTGTCTTCTTATTCTCTTTACAGTGTCCTTTGATGTATAAAAGTTCATAAAAATTAATTTTTATGAACTCATATTTATCTTTTTTCTTTTATTGCCTTGCTTTTGGTGTCACATCAATGAAATCATTGCCAAAGCCAATGTTATAAAGATTTTTCCAAATTTTGTCTAAAAATTTTATATTTTTAGCTTTCATGTTTAGATCTTTGATCTTTTTTGACTTAATTTTTGTATATGGTATAAGGTTAGAGTTCAATTTTATCCTTTTGACTGTGGACTTTTTGTTTCCCTCATACCATTTGTTGAAAAGAGCATACTTTCCTCATTGAATGGTCTTGATGCCCTTATGAAAATCAATTGACTGCATTTGCAAGGAGGGTTTATTTGTGGACTGTATAACATTCCATTGGTTTACATATTCATATTTATGCCAGTACTATGCTATTTTCACTACTATTGTTTTGTAGTAAGTTTTGAAATAAGAAAGTATGAGACTTCAAACTTCATTTTTGTTTTTCAAGATTGATTTGGCTATTTGGCTTTAAGATTCCATGTGAATTTTATGGTAGATTTTAATATTTCTGCAAAAAATTCCATTGGTATTCTGATATGGAATATTTTCAATCTGCAAATTATTTTGGGTGATCTTATAATCTTAACAACATTAAGTCTTCCAGTCAATGAACATAGCTGTTTTTCCATTTAGTTATGTCTTCTCTGCTTTCCTTCAGTAGCATCTTTGTAATTTTCAACATAGAAGTCTTTGTCTCCTTAGTTACATTTATTTTTAAGAATAAGTATGAAATTATAGGCCAATCTTGCTCATTGTAGAGATTTTAAAAATTATAAAAAGAATATGTTCAACCAAATATTTATACACAAATGTTCATAGCAGCATTTTCCATAACCAGAAAATGAAAATGACCTACACTTTCATCAACTGGTTAATTCCATGATAGAAGTTTATACAGCCATAAAAAGAAATGAAGTATTGATACCTGAAACAATGTGTTTTAACCTTGAAAACAATATGCTGAATAAAAGAAGTCAATTACAAAAGGCCACATATTGTATAATTCCATTTATATGAAATGTTTAGTTTGGCAAATATATAGAGAGATTGAAATTAAATTAATGTGGTGACCTAAAGCCAGAGAAGATGAAGTATATTATTACCAATATTCTCGGAGGAATGAGCTTTATAACCATAAACCAGGAGAACCTATTAAATCAAGTGACTACATGCACTGATTAAAGGAGGAAATGATACTGATATCTTACTAGATGCAGAAAAAAAGCATTTGAGAGAACTGTTCATAAAAATAATCTATTAGTAAACAAGGAATAGGACTTTTCCTACATCTCATAAAAAGGAGTCTTACAGAATCTATAGTAGGTATCATACTCAATGATTAAATACTAAAAATCTTTCCTTTAAAATCAGATGCAAAACAAGGATGACCTCTTTTTTTGTGGTGCTAGGGGTGGAACCCATGGCCTGATACATACTAGCCAAGTGTTGTATCCCTGAGCTACACCTCATCCCAAGGAAAACCTCTTTAACTACTTCCATTCAGCATTGTATATGATAGAGAATAAATTAAAGAACCAAGAGGAATAATAATTAGAAAGGAAGAAGACTAACAATGATTATTCATAGATAAAGCAATTGTCTACCCAGAAAACCCAAAATAACCTACTTAGGATAAAGCAATTAATTAAATTATAAATAAAGTAATTAACAAAATGATTAGAATTAATGAAATATAAAAGTTGATGTATATAGAATCAATACACAAAAGACAATTAAATGTCTATACAGTGGTAAGAAACAGAAAATTGGATTTAAACAAAATCTACCACCAGGTGTGGTGGCACACTCCTGTAATCCCAGTGGGTCCAGAGGCTGAGGTGGGAGGATCACATGTTCAAAGCCAGCCTCAGCAATGGCGAGGCCCTAAGCAACTCAGTGAGACCCTGTCTCTAAGTAAAATACAAAATAGACCTGAGGATGTGGCTCAGTGGTTGAGTGACCCTGAGTTCAATTCCCAGTACCAAAAAAAAAAAAAATCTACCATTTACAATAATAACAAATCATAGGTATTTTTAGATAAATCTAAGAAGAGATCAGTGAACAATGTTACAAGCAAAAACATTAAAACTTTATTGGGGGCTGGGGTTGTGGCTCAGCGGTAGAGTGCTCGCCTAGCATGTGCAAGGCCCTGGGTTCAATCCTCAGCACCACATATAAATAAATAAATAAAACAAAGGTATTGTGTCCATCTACAACTAAAAAATAAATATATTTTTTTTAAAAACTTTATTGAAAGACTTTAAGGATACTTAAATAAATGGAAAGGTAGGCCATGTTCCAGAACAAGAAGATTTAAATATTAAAGACATTATCATATCAAATCCCTAACAGCAGTTTTTGAGGAAATTTAAAGCTGATTTAAAAATGTGTATGTAAAGGGTGATGATTACACAAGACATTCTAGAAGAAGAACAAAATGGATGGAATTTGTCCGGCTCATTAACATCAACAATGATTAACACAAAGTAGGCCTGGTACAAGGATGAATAAGAAAAATGCAAATACTTCAGCACAAAAGCCAAAAACAAACAAAATGAAGCCCAAAATAAAACAGGCAATTCACAGAGGAGAAAATAATAAATTGCCCTTCAACAAATGAAAAGATGCCCAAGCTACTTAATAATCAGGGAAATGGGAAAAAAAATCAAATCACCATTAGGTATTACTTCACTCACCTCAGACTGGAAAAAGGTTAAAACAGCACTGACAATACCAAATGTTTGCCAGGATGGGAAGCAAAGGAGTTTCTTATACACTCCTGGCACCCATGCAAACTGGTGTATCTGCAATCACTCTGGAAAGTAGGTTTTTTTTTTTTTTTTTGTATTTAATAAGGTTGAAGATGAGTACATCCTATAACTCTGCAATTCTATTCCTGGGTGAATGTCCAAGATTCTCCCACGGGTGCAGAAATGCTCAAGGTGACATTGCTTGCAATAGCTCCCAAACTGGGAGCAACTCAAGTATATTTTGGAAGCAGAATGATTAAATAAATCATGCAATGAAATAATCTGTCCTGGTGGGAATGAGTGCGGTGGAACTAACGCATCGACATGGGTGAGTGTGGACTATATAATTTTGAGCAAAAATTGAAGCCATAAGGGGTTGGGATTGTAGCTCAGTGGTAGAGTGCTTGCCCAGCATGTGTGAGGACCTGGGTTTGATTCTCAGCACCACATAAAAATAAATAAAATAAAGGTCCATTGACAACTAAAATATTTTTTTAAAAATACATAAGGGGCTGAGGCTGTAGCTCAGTGGTAAAGTCCTTGCCTCGCATTTGTGAGACACTGAGTTTGATCCTCAGCACCACATAAAAATAAATAAAGATACTGTGTGTTCATATACAATTAAAAATATACATAAAATATTTTCTAAAAAATACATGATAAGATTCTATTGATAAGATATTCAAAAACAGAAGCTGGACAGTGTGTTAAGGATACTTGCTTGCTCATCAAACTACACTTTGAAAGAAAAGAAGTTGTAAACATAAAATTCACGATAGCGCTTTGCCTGTAGTGGGGAGAAGAGGAAATGGTAGAGGGGAGAGTCACTTCCCTAGTATGCTGCTTCTGAAGCTTGGTGGTGAGTTTCACTATAACTGTTTCTTCGCATTGTATAAAGTACCTTTAAATGCATTTGGGACACTTTTACTGGAAGTTTAGTAAGTGTAGTTGATCTTATCAAGAGTTAATCCCCAAAATATCATGAGCCTATCAGATCCATAAAGTGAATTCTTTTATGAGGGAATTTTGGCAAACCATTTCCAATAATTATATGGTTTCATATTAAGGCTGAATGGCTATATTGTGTTTGAAATGCCAGCTCTCACTCACGTGCAGACAGGTTTGTTCAGGTCTTATCAGGCCACTCTCTTGTGATCTGGTGGCAGCTACTTGGATGGAGCCACAACTTACCTTCCTCTCCTGACTCATTAACCAGAGTCCTGTGATGTTGTTTCCTAGGAGGAGCACCAAACAGCCAACTCCCTGAGCAGTAGTGCTCTTACCTGGACAAAGAAGTTTAGCCTGGATTATTTGGCCCTGGACTTTAATTCAGCATCATCAGCCCCTGTACAGCAGGTAGGAAGAATTTTATGTCTGAGAATTCCCAGAGAACCTCATTTCTGCTTAGATTTTTCTGATCGCCAAACCATGTGTGTTGTCTTTAGGAGGTCTTAGAAATACAGATGTGTGGGCTGGGGATGTGGCTCAAGCGGTAACGTGCTTGCCTGGCATGCACAGGGTGCTGGGTTCGATCCTCAGCACCACATAAAAATAAAATAAAGATGTTGTGTCCACTAAAAACTAAAAAGTAAATATTAAAAAAGGAATACAGATGTATAATGAAAAATATTGAAAGAACCTTAAACCTTCCTTCCAGAGAGAATGGAATCCTAGTGTATTTCTTTCTAGAGCATGTTCTTTGCATGCATGTGTGTAAACAGATGTTATATTCATGCTTTTCTAGGATTCATACCCTAGTAGTTATAGAAAATTCATAAGACACAGAGGAGGATGGGCCAGGCATAGCAAGGGCCTGTTTAAGGAACAAGTAACAGGCTAGTATGGCTAGACTTTATGCAGTGATAAAAGGAGCTGTAGTTGACATGGAACCCCTCAGTAAAGGGCCTTGAATTGCCAGGTTGGACTGTTTCAAATCCTTCAGATAGTATTTTCATCTGTAAATTAGGAATCAGAAATATTAACATCTACAATGAGAGCTCTTAGGAGGATTGATTGATTAATACCCATAAGTGATCCTAGCCATTAAATAATATACACTTCACAGTTTGAGTCATGGAATGAACTAACAGTGATAGATGGACAACTAATATATTTGAGTGAGGGATGGTCATAATCCCATAATGTGTCTAACAATGTATTATTTGGTGAAAAAAAGCAGCTCACTGAACAGAAAGTACAATATGATTCTCTGTGTGTGTGTGTGTGTGTGTGTGTGTGTGTAAGGAAAAAAAAAAACTCTGGAAGATCTCCTTCCCCTTTTGCTGAATGAATACCTACTTTTCCACATTTAATATCATTCCAAAAACCTGAACAGATACACAAGAAAAGCTGGTCAGAAGGGTGGGAGCAACAAGTACAAAACGCATGTTAGTCAGTTTAGGCAGAGTAAACAACCCCCAAATTTCAGGTACACACAGGATCAAAGGTTCTTTCAGTTGTTACTCATGAGAAAGCCTATTTCAGGCAGGGATATTGTGTTCCAGGTCATCTACAATACAGGGCTTCTGGCAGAGGAAAAAAAAAAGAGAAATTAGAGAATCCCAAAATGCTTCTCTTCTCCTTAGGATTGGCATGTGTCAACTCTATTCAGATTCTATTGGTCCAACCAAATGGCTAAAGTTAAGAGATGTTCACACACATACATCTAGAGCATAATGTTTCTGCAGGAAGGAAGAGGGAGTAAATAGTAAAGATTACAGTATAACCTACCACAGAAAGGTAGGCACTATCCTGATTTTTAAAAATTAGATGTAATGAAAACTTTTTGTCCTTCTTCAGAAACTTCTTCTTTCAGAAGAGCAAAGAGTAGACTATGTCCAAGTGGATGAGCAGAAGACACAAGCTCTCCAGAACACCAAGCAGGAGTGGACGGATGAAAGGCAATCCAAAGTGTGAGATGTGTGGGTCTGGGCCAGGTGTGAAACTGGGAAGCTTGGGGTTCAGTTTGCATTTTTTTTTCACTAAAAACACACCAATGGTCAACACAGGTCAAAACCAAGAGAGAATGTGTAGTTTGTGTGGTATTGGCGAGAACTTTTAGGAGGAAAGGATCTGTTTATGCATTGGATGGAAAGGAGAATCCAGCAGTTTCCTCTCAAGCAGGTATGAAGGGGGCCAACCCACACCCCTTTACCCCCACTTCCAGAGCCTGTGACAGAAGGTCATTTCTCCAGCCTCAGAGATGCTTGCAATGGTTCCACCGTCACAAAAGGAAGAGATGAAGGGTTCCACAACCACAGACTGAGATGTAAAAAAATGCCATTAATTCAGGAATGGTAAGAGCAATAAAAACAAGACTTTAGAGAACATTTTTCCAAATATTCTGTTACAAAATTTTCAAATGGAGTATTTGGAGCAAAGATTGGTGCCGGTATTACGGCCAACAGGCTGACATTGTTTGCCTCCAATACCTGAAATTTTGTCTGATATCCTGTGCTTTGATCAGAACCAAATTATTCTAGTAAAGTGTACCCTGAAGACCATTTTGTCATAGCCCTTGAAGACACAGTTGAGATCAAGCTCAGCAATGGTCACAGAATTTACACTCCTTACTCTTATGACTCTATCAGATCAAACATTTCTGTCCCTAAAGAGATGCAATTTGAGTGATGGGCAATGGATCCCAGGCTCCATGATGAGCAGCATATCTGATGACACTGGTGGCTATAAAGACATTTGTGTTTAAGCTGCTGTTCCATTGCTGTTGGCATTTTCCCAGCATGCTTTCTTATGTATCATCTCATCCCTTCCTCTAAAAGGCCCCAGAAGCTATGCATGGCAGAATCTGATGCTACTGCCACTTTGAAGAGAAGAAAACTGAGAACCAGAGAAGGGAACACATTGACCAAGATCACTCATGGGGCTAAGATACAGAGTCAAGCTTAGAGTTGTCCAGGCTGCCAATTGCAAACTCATTCCACTATCTTATACTACCTCTGAGGAAATTGACAAAACTGATCATTTGGGGGAACACCTGCAAACAAAAGATGAGCTATCATCCCCTCTTCCTTTCATAGAGATCTGAGCAAGTGCTCTGATTCTTAAAAGGTATACATGTACAGGGAGGAGTTCTTTTTGCAATGTTCAATTGAAACTCTACATTTTCAGTAGTTACAATTAGAAATACCTCCTGATGATCTGTCTGAAATTTTGGCCAATTTTCCCTTCTGATTGAAAAATGACAGATCCTGAGACTTTGAACATTCCATAAAATGGGGGCATTGTATCATCTCATCCTCGGTGGATAATGGACCCAGGGAGCCCAGAATGAGGGTCTCAGTTGGGCATGGAATTTTATTTAATACCCCTTCTTAATCCTTCTGAGAACCTAGAGCCATAATACATATCTGAACAATGAGGAACTAAACAGATACTGTATAAGGATTGACCAAATAGGAAGCAAACACTCACTGCAGTTGGTGCAGTTGTACGCTTTACCACAGGATTTCAGGGTTTCAACTGACTGAATGGTAAGAAAATATGTAAGTCTTGTTTTTTCAGACCATACAAGAAGTCACTTTGATTTTCATAGCAGTAGATTCTGGTGACATCATTTTCCTTGTGTTGTAAAGCAGGGAAAATTGCCAAGTACTTTAAACTGAGTCCAGGGTCCCTAATGAACCTAGACAAAGCAAGGAGAAGGCTCCCCAGTCCTTGCATCTCACAGCCACCTCCATATCACAACAAAACATAGGCCAGAGCCTGTAAGGAGCTGCCTTCTTCCTCATGTGTGTGACAAAAAAATCACAGAGTCACAGGAAAAGAACCAGGGCTACAGATTGCCATTTCCTGTAGATGGTAGCTTTATGTGGAGGGGGGGGATTGTGTTTGGATCTTTAATTACCTGGAAAAAGGCTGCTACAGAAAAATCGTAGCCCTGGGGGTCAAGAATGACACCAGATTGAAGAAGAAAAACTACAGCTGAAATTATGTCAGTAGTGAAATATCATTGAATTGGTGAAAGAAAGGAAGAAAAAAGAAATCTCTTTCCTACAAAGCATTTCCAAGAATGTATTTATAAATGAAGCAATATACACAAGAGTAGTATGACTTGTTTGGATGTGATTAATTAAAAACAGGAATGCTCCGAATAGGTGCTCTCTA